CACACCAAACACACTGCTGCTCAGACTGCACGTTCTCGGATTCTCCTCTGTGTGGTACACTGTGATGCACACCCCCAAACTTCAGCTTTTGGAGTGAAACTGCTATGCCAGCTCAAACCAAAATAGCTGCTTTGCTATACAGAACATTAAAATAGGATAAGAAACACCAATGGAATGACAGAGCACGGAACTACTTACATTATTTGCCTCTTATCTAGGTCTTGCCCCATTTTCTAACACACACACTTCCACCCAGAAGAACAAAGTTTAACCTCTATTAAACTTTGGCTTCAAGCTGCGCCAGGGTAGATTGAGGCTGGACGTTAGGAAATACTACTTTTCTGAAGGAGGCACTGGAACGGGCTGCCCAGGGAGGTGGTGGAGTCACCGACCCTGGAGGCGTTCAAGGAACGTTTGGATTCTGTGTTGAGAGATATGGAACTATTGGTGATAGGTGGATGGTTGGACTGGATGATCTTGTAGCTCTTTTCCAACTTCAGTGATTCTACGATTCTGTGTTTCTGTGAACCTTGCATAAGGATTTTGTCAGCAATTATCTCACTGCACACTCCTGACATGAAGGTAAACTTCCAGCCCCTTCCCTCCTGTACCAATACACAGATATGTTCTTGGCTTTAAGGACTTTCTGTGCCTTGTCCCACTGAGGGTGATGGATAATTCAAAATTGACTGTGGATGATTTATGCTGCCTTCTGCATCACTAAGCTAAGTTTATCCATCATCACCACCATCTTTTTTTTTTATTCAATAAGTCATAAATTATGGTCTTCTAATGTATGTCACACAGATCCTTACTGAACGATTTTAATCAGTCATTTATTTATCTGATGCAATTCATTTTGAGCTGTGTGCGGTCTTTGAGAAGTACTGAGATAAAACAGCTCAAGGCCAGGTTATCTGCCTCAGAATCTCTTATTGATCTTTTCTATATTGCATAAGTGAGCAATTCAAAGAATGTTGCCTGCCCAAGACAGCAACAGCTATTGCATTTCTCCCTGCCTAGCTTATATTTAGAGATCTCGAGAAATGTTAGACTAAGTCAGATGTTGCATATAGCAGATTACATTCTAGGCAATCCTGAGTAGGTACATAACACTCTGTGGCAATGTGCTGCAATGGAAAACGGACTGAAGTAATACAGTTATGGCAAAACAGTCAACAACACTGAAGCTGGATATTTGTGCTGTTCTTTTCAAGTACATTAAGCCCCGTTATCATTCAGACATGTCTGAGCTCCAACAAACAGCGTAAATATTTAATAGTTATAAAAGGTTATCTTCAGAGATAAAGGACAAATGAAAGAAAAAAAAAAAAGTAAGAGCTGGCATTAAATTTTCAAAGACAAAACTATAATAAGCCATTGTATTGACCAGTACAAATCACAGAACATCCCAAGTCAGCAGGGACCCACAACTGAGTCTAACTTCCAGCTCCACACAGGACCAGCCAAAATCAAACCCTGTGTCTGAGAGCAGTGTCCAGATGCTCCTTGAACTCCAGCACTCGGGGCCGTGCCCACAGCCCTGTGCAGCCTGGTCCATGCCCAATGCCTTCTGGTGCAGAACCCACCCCTAACCCCCAGCTGCCCCCCAACACAGCTCCATGCCCTTCCCTCGGGCCCTGCTGCAGTCACACAGAGCAGAGCTCAGCGCTGCTCCTCCACTCCCTGTGAGGAACACCGCTTCCACACAAACTGGAAGCAGTTCAAACTGAGGCTGATGCGCTCCTACCTCCAATCCTCAGCCTGTGCACAATCTCTCCCCATTCCACACGCACAGGGCAGTCACACTGTCAGTGAGTACAGGGAGCAAATGGCACACGCTACCCCAACAGAGACACTGTGCCCCTTACCAAAAGATGGCGATCAGCTTCCAGGCAGCTCAGCTCCACGCATGCACTTACAAAAATGAGGAAGGGATCAGAAAGCAGGATTGTGGCAGTCCCAATTTAGGTCAGTTTAAACTGCTGGAGCACCACACCCTAACATTCTTTCAGCTGAAAAATGCTAGGAAATGACACAAGTCTTTTTCATCTACGTATTCTATTCTGTCAAATTCTGTTTTCACTCAATAATACTTTTTCCTTGCTGAAATAAATAAGCTTTTAAAGAGACGAGCAATAAAGCTCTTAGCCATGAAACAAAAACCCTTGGAACTTCATGAAGGAGGCTACTTGTCAGAGCTGTGAATTATTTCACTCTAGAAAACTCAACCTCAGGTTAACCAGAACAAAGAACTTATTACAAAGAAAAGATGACATTTCAGAAAACTGAGCTGTGTGTAAAGTTAGGGAAACAGAACTCCAACAAAAGATGAACATAAAATCAGAGTGAAATAGGCAAAAAGGTTTTGAAGAGCAGTTTGTCAAAAACAAAGCTACCATCTGAAACAGCCATTACTATCACCAAAAGAACAATCCAGAGAAATAATCAAAGGGGCTCCTAAAACAACTAAGCTGCAAAGATGACCACCAAGAATGAACGCTAAAGAATTGCACCAAAAAAGAACCAAAAAAATCATTGACTTTTGCTTCCCTGACAAACAGATAACAACAACAAAATGAGAACTACTAGACCTGTGGCTAAATAAGATAGCAGTGAGCAGCCTCCATAAGTCTTTATGGAACTAGCAGTAACTTATTAGCCTTCTGAAAGGAGAAAATGCATGGATAAGCATAACACAATTAACTGAGCCTATCTGGATTTATAAAAATTTTAGATGAGCTCCCTCACAAAATGCTTTTACAGATTCAATTTACTGAGTGATAGAACAACAAAATGCTTCATGAAATTCAGTGTGTGAGATAAATGCAAGAAAAAAAAGCCTTACTATACTTGTGCAAAGTACTTCAGCATAGTTGCTGCTACTTAAGGAAAAGGTCTTGGAATGACTACTAAACAACAAAAAGAGAGGCCAAAATAAAAAGCATTCATCACTGTGCTTCATCATTAGTAACCCATGGCATCTCTGTATCACAAATGCTGGCTGCAGTTCTAGCATGCCATGCATCTCACATAAATAAAAACCCATACCAATACAGGGCATATACATGAAAGGAACAGAGACCAGTAAACTCGTGAACTTTTTCTCATGCTAAGAATTATTACACAGACCAAGCTTCTGTCACTTGCAGAAAAAGAAAAAAAAAGACAAAGGTGACAGATTATAAATGTCTGCAAGTCACTACAGTATGGGGAAAATTACTAATTGTTCCACATCCTCTAATTCTGGCAACAGAACCCAAGAGTGACAGTTTAGAAGCAAGTAGAAGAAAGGAGTTTCTCCTCCACACATCACGTAATAAAATGGAAGAGCTCATAGTCTGGGCATGGTGGTAGAGAGGCCTGGAACACAAAAGAATCAGGTAAGGTTACACAAGTTTGTAGCAATTGGGTTCTTTAGAAGGCGTAACATCTGATGGTCCCAGATGTGACCTCTGCCTGAAGAAGCCCCTGACCATGATGCTAAAGGGATGTGCTGTATTTGTTGCATTTTGCTACACTTCCTGGAACATCCCCTGCTGGGTGCTATCCCCACCTGCTTCCTGCAGTGACTAACTGCTGTGGCCTGCACTGAACAAAAAGTCAACTGGAGGTGTGGGAGAGTGACAGAGGCACAGGCTGGTACCTGCCAGGTATCCAAGATCTACACAAGGAGCTGGGCCCAAGGCAGTCACCACCTGGTGACACCAGAGTGGGCAACGAGCGACTGCAGCCTCTGCTTCTCCACAGGGAGAAGCTCATGCTCATCACAGAGATCTGCCACATCTTTATGTGGGAGATGACATAGTGCTTTTGCATAAGTAATAGAATGTTGAACCAAAGGGACATACCTCAGGACCCTTGATACAAGGTAAGGTTTGATTGTGGTTAACGAATAACGTGTGCACATTGAGAGGTAAGAGGAGACTGTCTGGCAGGTTAATTTGTGTACTCTCCTCCCTTGGGGATATCAGTGGGGGAGAGTGAGCTACCAAAGGTAAAGGCTGTAAGACATACATACGCACCCAGAACTGCATAAGAAGAAACAAACTTATCTGGCAGGTACATGGTGGGAGATGAGGCAACTGCTTTATGGATTCCACTTACTTGAAGAAACAAAGAGAAACAGACTTTGTCAACTGCGTAGGGGATGTGCGTGCAAAGAACGTGAACCTGGCAGCAGAGAAAGTGTGAGAGCGACAAATGTGCTTTTGCAACTGAAAAATCCCACCGACCAGCTAGGATACCAGCTAAGCTTGGATAGGTAGATACGTAGCAGAAAGCAAGAGGCTCCAGTGTCAAGATTAGGGAAATGGATGGGGCAGACAAGATAAATATTTACAAAACTAGCAGAGGTCAGGAGGTAACAAATTATGGAGCGATAATGGGAGGGAGATAGCAAGCTTTGGATAGATGGTGAACCTGGAGTACTCAATCAAGGATGAAACAGGAGGAACACTCAGTGTCAGCAGATAGGGGATATAAGTCCATGATGTGTATCTGGTTGTGCACTCTGCTTGCAGGACACCCACCACTGCAATCGCAAATTAAAACTTCTTCACAAGAGACCCGGTCTCCAAGAAGTCATCTGAATTATTTCTCACGTTTATTCCAAAGTAAGTGCTCAGGTACGGGAGCTAGATAAAACAGCCTTTCTCCACGTTAAGCTCCCTAGAAGCCACCTTCAGCTCCAGCAGCTTCACGCTCTCCGCAGTGGCGACTCCAAACAGAGCCACGAAGGGACAACGTTCACAGGACCGCCCGCGCTACCCCTGCTGCGAGGAACCCTGTGGGCACACAGCGGAGGCACGGCGCTCCCTCCGCACCGAGGCCCAGCGCTTCACACCGGCGGCAGCGGGACCGCAGGGCCTCCGGCAGCCCCAGCCCCAGCCCTGCCCTCACGGCCCTCCCCGTTCCGCTCAGCGCAGGGCAGCCGCTCTCCCTCACACGTACCCAGGCCCGCGGCAGCGCCCCCCACCTCCTCCCTCCCCGCCCCTTACCGTAGCGCAGCTCTCGCGGCGGCCGCCCCAGCGCCCGCAGCCCGCCCGGCGCCCAGAGCAGCATCAGGGCAGAGACCAGCCACAGCCGGAGCCTCATGGTCCGAGCGCGCGGCTCCCTCCCGCTCCTCCGTCCGCCCGCTCCTCCGTTCCGCCGCTCACATTCGGTCCGGCCAACTTCGCGCTCCGCCCGCCCGCAGCACTTCACGCAGCACTTCACGCCGCCCCGGGCCCGCCGCCCTCCAGGGCCCGTACCCGGAAGCGCGGCCCCGCGCGGAGCACTGTGGGTGCGGGCGGAGCCGCCATCTTAGGCGGCGCTGCGCTGCGCTGCGCTGCGCTGCTTCCCGGGTGGCTGTGTGAAGTGTGCGTCAGCTCAGATGGGGGATGTTCGTTGCTTTTCTATGAGCTCTTCCAATTCTACTGGATAGCGGGATGGGCGCAGAGTGCAGTGTTGAAGATACGGGTGTGCACTGGATATACAAAGCGGCACAATTGCTTTTTGTGCTCTCGATGTTGGTGGCTTTTTTTTTTCCTAAATATTAATGTAGTTCACTGTGCTGTTGAATGCTGCCGAGCACTGAGCTGCCACTGTTCTACAGACACCTACTGGGGTTGCAAGATGTCACTCCTCAAGTGCAGTGGTCTGTGCAAAATGGTCTGTTATTCTCGTATTACGGAATTATTTTTTCTTCTCTTGCATCACTTTGCATCTCTCAGTACTGAAAATCATCTCTTTTATGGCCAGCCACTGAAGGCTCAGGTCAGCTGCCGAGATGTGAGTTCTGCTTCAGATCAGAGGATGATAGTATGGTTTGGTTTGGAAGGGACCTTTAAGATCATCCAGTTCCAACCCCCTGCTACAGGCAGGCACACCTCCCACCAGACCAGGGTGCTCACAGCCCCATCCAGCCTGGACTTGAATGCTTCCAGGGAGGGGACATCCGCAACCTCACTGACAACCTGTTCCAGCATCTGTCCACCCTCACAGATCGTGTAGGGTATCTTACCAAGGATTCAGAACAGCATTGTGAGTCTCCGTGAGGTGAATGCCAGAGCCATTCATTCTGTAGAATGTCTCCCACGTTCTACAGAATAGCTGTAGCTAATTGAGCCCTGAGAGGTTCTACAGTTCTTCTCAGCCACACCTTGTCTTTCCTTCCATGAACAACATGGTATCAGAAGGCTTTGTCTGCTCAGTCCTCACCTCCTCATTCAAATTATTTATGAGTAAGTAGTCAGATATGAAGGTACATTGATGACTTTCTTTCACTGTGAGATTTGCATACTCCTGGTCTTGTAGCTTTCTCTCTGAATGCTGCTTTTTCACCCAGTTCTCTTGGTGGATTCCAGAACTCACAAGCTTTGGCACTTGATACACTAAGATTATTGAAATTCTCTTGTTCTCTTGCAGATGATTTATTGTTGAGTTTTGTACCTTTTCTCTTCAATACCATCCATGATTTCTATCATAACCCTCAAAGGCTTGTTTTTTCCCCCCCAAAATGAAAGGTTCTATTTCATTTAGTCTTCCCTCGCATGGCATGTTTCATATTTATGTTTATCCTTGTTGACTGTTACTGTACTTTTGTATATAATATATCTATAATATATATCCTCTGCCACTGCTTGTGTCTATGCTTATAAACTTCTACTGAGTACAGAGTAGAGATTTTGGGAAGCTGAAATTTCACCTGTATTCCAGGATCTCTTTTCCTAAGTACTAACAACTACTAGATGAACTGGTGTTCCTCATTGTGACTGTTTGGTGAAGGATATAACTTGGCATTTGGCATCATTGATTTTCACTTGCTGTTTTGTCAGGTGTCATTTAATATTGTGAGGACCTCCTGCAGCTCTTCAGAATTGACTTTATATAGGGCTTTTCAGAAAGGGTTCTTGCTAGCTTTTGTTTGCTTGGTTGTTTTTTTTATGTTTTGTTGTTGTTGTTTTTAATGTCCAAACTAGCTTTGCCTGTTTTCAAATCATTTATTGGTTTGCACGGGTCTCAGAACAGATCTGTTTTATGTTTTATTGAGGTGTGGAATTTTTATCTTTTACTGCTTTGTACCTTCTCTAGGCAAGATACAGAAAGCCAAGTAGGTTTCTTTTTCACTTATCAGTTGTATTTTCCCACTCAATATTTTTCTTCCATTTATTTCTTATCTCACAGGGACATGCTAACAATAAAAGTTGTTTGTCCATAAATATTTTTAGGGTTATGGAGTATTTGTGATTTGTATTTTGACAAAATCAAGCACAATGGAGTTGTAGATTAAGATGTTTAGACACTGTAATTAGTATAACAATAAATAGTAATTAAAAAAGTGTGATTGATTTAGTAATATTGTTTGTTCCATGTTAATAAGAATCACTTATTTTGTATCCCTATGTTAGTCTGATGGCATGTCTAGGTGTAAATTTTGTTTTATTTGGGGGATTTATACAAACATAGCACCATGTCTAGTACAAGAACTCTTTCAGAGCCTGCTGATACCCAGTATTGATAGGAATGCTTTCTTCCCCCATTAAGGAATTTTAATTGTTACTTGTGTGGTTAAGAACTAAACAAGAATATGATAAATGCATAAAGAGATGATGAAACATGAATGAGGAAACAGCATTTAGTGTGTTTTGGTGAAAGACATTGTATCACTAAGCAGAGAATTCCTAAAATATACTGTTTAATGCTTTGATTAGAAAGGAAGCTAGATTTTATGGCACAGTGATTGAGAATTACTTTTGTTTAGTGCATGTTTGAATAGGAAATGATGCCCCGAGGCAAAAGGCCTGATCTTGGTTCTGAGCTAATGAGATAAGCAAAACTGCACCCCACCCATGTGCAAGACTGGGCTGTACAAAACTGCATATTTTCCCATGGGAATCATTGGAACCCCTATGACTTTCGGGTTTTGAATCTTCAGTTGAGTAAAGACCTGTGTCTTATAAGGAGCGTTCTTCCTTTGGGAGGAGCGTGAGGAGAAACGAATGATTTTGTAACTCTCATCTTTCGTGACTTTCATGATCATCTACAACAAAAATTCCTTAGAAGCACTCAGGAGTTTCTCAAAGCAAAATAACTCTCAAAGCATAAAACAAGAACGGAAAACCAGCAAACAACCATTCCTGTTTGTGTAACGCAAGGAGTGCTTTATTCTCATTTAATACACCAGAAAATTGGACCTAGTGCCAAGTCTTTTCCCTCATGCTGTTTGAGATGGTTCTGATAAATGAGATCTGGATGCCTGTGACATGCCAATTCTACCCTTTGCAAGAAAAAGCTGTAGAAGTTTCTAGAATCTCTCTTCCTTCCTCTTGTTTTCTTCCCTCTTTTCTTCTATGGCTGTCTTTTACCAAGTTGCCCAACTTAGTCTCCCTTCTCAGGCCTTACCCTCACTTAGTTTGGCCTGTTGTCACTTTCTAAATGTGTGTAACAGCCTTCCACTTTAATGATCCAGCAGTTTGTGGTATTTACAATATTGTTCTGCTATTTTCCCTACCTACTCAGCAAGACAGAAGTTTGGCTACAGCTCTGGAAAGTAACATAATCCATTATTTTCTGACTACAGGAAACTTCTGTGGTCTTCTATTATCTTTCAAGACTTTATTAGTGCACTGCAACTGGCCTCACTTATATGCCATGATAGTTTTGAAATCTGCTGTTACTACAAGCAAAGAAAAACAGAGAAGCCAACATGGGAGAGCTTTTTGAAGGGAGAAGCGACCTTAATTTGTTCTTCGTAGTTGTGAGTGTGTGCTCTCCGTAATCATAACAACACCAAATGTTTTTCTTCTCTGAAGTGTATCAGAGTGAATAGAGAGGGAACATGCTGTTGTGAAGTTACTTCCTGGTACAGTCCTTTTCAAACCCACAAAGAAATTACTTGTCCCTTCTTTCTGACACACACTGGTCCCCATTTCCTATATCGACCAGGAGATGGTGCTGCCATTCTTCCATCTGTTCCTTTTTTAGGAAAGGTGATGCATGTTTACGTAGGATTACATACATAAATAACAAAAATGCTTCTGCCATCTAACTGATACACTTTTTTCCTAATAGGGGGAAAAAAAATGACACCGACCTTTTTGTTTTTTAAAGCTTGCCACTCTCTTAGAACTGGACATACATATTAAAGATCCACCATATGTCACCAACAGAGCCACTCAGGAGTTTTCCACAGTTTTCTAATGCTCCATGTTGTGAGGATGACTACAAAACACTCATCTTTACGATTTGCTGGTTATTTTCCACACCTGCCTTTCTCTCCTTTACAGACATCTTTGGATGCACTCTGGCAAGGTGGTTCATATTTTCATAGATATCCCAGCCCTGATCTGAGAACCAAAACTTTAACGCTGGTTTAAATGCAAACAAGATGAGGTTTAAAATCTTTTCCTAAGTCACATTAGGCAATTTCTGCAATTCCCTTAGTACAGACTCTGATTTTAACAGGTCCTGTGGTTCCACTGTCCATGCCTCATGAAGTCTGGCCTGGAAGGACCTCGCAATATGTAGTGGAGGGACACATTCTGTTCTGTTTGATCATTTTGACTGTGATAGCCTATTCTTAGTTTTTAATCTTCTGTCAGTGCTGGGATTACGTTTATAAGTATGTATGAATGTACCAGGACTACATACTTCCCTTTAAGTTCAAAGGATCCATTTTGTAGCTTTGTTGTTGTCATATCAGTGCAATTGTTTGATAATACTCACAGCTGCAAAAAGGAGAACAGAACCTGATTTCACATTGCCAGGCTTTGTTTTGATTCTAAAATATATCCTTGTGATTTCTCTTTCCCACAGAATAGATGTCATGGACACTGGCAAAAGTTAACATCTCTGGCACTGATATTCAGCTTTTCATTTGATATCAGTATTTTTATTGATTTTCTTTTTTCTTCTAAGAAAGCAGACTTTTCTTATTTTGAAGTTTGCAATAGAAGAAAAAAGGACCTAAGTATTAGGTAAGATAAAATGTACTTCTGGGCAATATTTTTATATCAGGCTAATACATATATACTGTTAATGCAAGGTCTGCTAATGTGATCTTTTGGGAAGTAATGGAACATGGGCTGGGCTCCAGCAGTACTAT